GAGTTGGGTAACGAGAAAACCAAAAATAGGTTCCAAGAACAACTGAATCCTCAATTAGGTAGTTCTGAAAACGAGGCTGACCCAGATGTTGCTTGGAAAGCTATACAAACAGCTGTGGAAACAGCAGTGACATCTATTAGTGATTTAAACCACAGTTACAAAGAACCAATGGATTTCCTCAAGGTCTATCACACTGATGGATTCTCGTTAACTCATCCCGTCAGGCTCTGAACACGATGAAGAGCGACAACAAATCAGATCTAGGTTAACCAAAAGTCTAAGGAATGACCGTGAGCAGTGGTGGGAAACGAAAGCAAAAGAGATGGAAAAGGCGGCGATTATAGGGAACACAAGACAGTTCTACAGACTAATAAAAGAAACTGGAATTAACAAGTCAAGTGTAAGTAAGACTATTTCGGAAAAAGACGACACCCTCATCTGCTCTCAGTCCAGGCGTTTAGAACGATGGGCGGAACATTTCAGAGAACAGTTCAGCTGGCCTTCAGCTACTACTCTACAACTACCCTCCATTCCCAGACAGTGTGAATGGAACATTGAAGTAGGCCCCCCAACTCTAGCAGAAGTTCAAAAGGCTATAGATAATCTGAAACGAGGAAGGGCAGCTGGTCCAGATGGATTGGCTCCAGAAGTCTTTAAGGATGGTGGTCCAATTTTAGCGATTAGGTTGACTAATATTTTAGCTAAGATCTGGGAGTCAGACGTTATTCCATCTGACTGGTCACAATCACTTATCGTCCCAATATATAAGAAAGGGTCAAAATCATCCTGTGACAACCACAGAAGGATTAGTTTAACAAATAAAGTATCTAAAATACTAGCCTCGATAATTATCAGACGCCTAACTAAGACTCGTGAACTGCAAACACGAGAGAACCAAGCTGGCTTTAGACCTGGTCGTGGCTGCATCGACCACATATTCACCATTCGTCGGATTCTAGAACATAGGCATACTTATCGGCGTCCGACAATGGTGGTCTTTCTCAACTTGAAAGCAGCATTTGACTCGGTAGACCGCGAGATTCTGTGGCAGTGTCTGTCATTGAAAGGCGTACCACAGAAGTACATAAACCTTGTGAAGGCTCTTTACTCGAACACTACTAGTCGAGTCAGAGCTTATGGCGAACTGTCATCTGATTATGCAACCTCAAGTGGTGTCCGTCAAGGCTGTCCACTTTCTCCATTTCTGTTTAACTTCATCATAGACCTACTAATGGAAATAACATTCTCGTCTACTGAATTCTCGGGTGTTGATCTCCTTCCAGGAGGTCCACTTATCGACTTAGAATACGCAGATGACATAGTCATGTTTAGTGAAGACACTGATAAAATGCAGAATCTTTTGGTAGCACTAAGCAACAATAGAAGAATGTTTGGAATGCGCTTCTCTCCCTCTAAATGTAAGTTGTGGCTTCAGGACTGGTCTACGTCAACACCTGAACTAAGGATAGGGAGTGAAGTAGTTGAACACGTTGACAACTTCACTCATCTTGGAAGTCTGATCAGCCCTAATGGGTTGGTGTCTGACGAAATCTCAGCACGGATTCGGAAAGCTACTTTGGCTTTTGCCAACTTACGTCACCTATGGTGAAGGCGAGAAATCCGTCCATCAACTAAGGGACGAGTATATTGCGCGACAGTTCGTTCTGTTTTATTTTAAGGGTGCGAAACATGATCATTAAGGGTTGAAGATACTCGTAAGCTACAAGTATTTGACTACATACGCCTTAGGAATATTGCTGGGATCACCGGGTAAGTAATAATGAGGTTAGACGTAGGGTATTAGGGAATGATGGTAAATCAATTGATGAGGTTGTGAATCTTCATCGACTGAGATGGTTGGGCCACGTGTTGCGTATGCCTGAACACCGATTACCACGACGTGCAATACTAACCGACGTTCGGGATGGTTGGAAGAAAGTTAGGGGCGGCCAAACCAAAACTTGGCATCAGTGCTTGAAGTCGCAAACTTCTGGTCTGAGCCATGTTGGTAGATGCAGACTACTTGGTTGGGGTCCGCGTGACTATCGTAACCAATGGTTAGAGACTTTGGGTGACATGGATCAGGATCGATCACAATGTCGTCGGTGTATACACTCTCTATCTTCCCTTAAACTAAGATTAAAATCGCTTCATATCTTTCTTTCTACGAACTAATTCTTTCTTCTTGTACTATATCTCTATATGCAATCTTTCTCTTATATATTACCACCTCTGAATTAACTACTTTTATAAATCCGGTGTTCATCTTGTTGTGTTAATGTGGTATGGCAACTTGGACCGATGCATAAATGTGTCTGGTCCTACGTTGTAGCTGACTGACTGACTAAATGCTCAGGTTGAAATGGACAACATCGGATATGAGGATATCATGGGACGACATGGACTGGGAGAAACAAAAATGGTGAGGGATTTGCAAACCTATATGCTTTCAATAAACTCGTCATAGGCGCCACTATATTGCCACATAAACACATACACAAAACCACATGGATTTCACCGGATCACACTACACGGAACAAAATCGACCATATCTGCATCAACAAAAAATTCAGGAGGACGATAGAGGATGTGAGAACCAAAAGAGGGGCTGATATAGCCTCAGATCACTTGCTGGTCACCAAGATGAAATCGAAACTCGAGAAGCACTTGACGACGAGGCGAACATCACAAAAATTCACTACGCCTTTCTTCGGGATACTGGCTAACTTAACAAATTCATGATAGCCCTCGGTAATAGGTTCCAGGCCTTTCACGATCTATTCAATGAAGAGGGAACTACTGTGGAGAGCAACTGGGAAGGGATAAATGAGGCAATCGCTTCAACATGTCATGAGGTTCTGGGCCACTAGAAGCACTATCACAGGGAATGGATCACTGTTGATACACTGGATATGATTCAAGAAAGGAGGAACAAGAAGGCAGCAATCAACACCAGCCGAACAAGAGCAGAGAAAACCAAGGCACAAGTTGAATACACAGAAGTAAACAAGCAATAGGAGAGGAGCATGCTTGAGAAGATGGCCAATATAATACGGAATTCCTATGATGGATTAAACTGCGAAATTGTGCATGGAGGACAGCTCACAGACTCGTTCGAAGTAAAAACCAGTGTCAGGCAAAGTAACTTACTCTCACTCTTTCTTTCTCCTGGTGATCGACTGTATCATGAAGACGTCAAGATTTGAAAGGAAGTATGAAATATAGTGGACAGCTAGGTGCAGTTGTACGATCTAGACATCTCAGATGATCTAGCTCTTCTATAGCACACGCAACAACAAATGCTGAAGACGACCAGTGTAGCAGCAGCCTTAGCAGCATTAGGTCCCAACATACACAAAGGGAAAAGCAAGATTCTCCGATACAACACAGCATGCACCAATCCAATCACAATTGACGGAGATGTAAAAACCTTTACATATTTGGGCAGCATCATTGATGAGCACGGTGGATCTGATGCAGATGTGAAGGCGCGGGGATCGGAAAAGCAATAGCAGCATATTTACAACTGAAGAACATCTGGAATTCAAAACAACTGTCTGTCAACCAACACAAAAGTCAGAATTTTAAATACAAATGTCAAGACAGTTCTACTGTATGAGGCGGAAAAATGGAGAACTACGAAAGTCATCATCCAGAAGATACAAGTGCTTATTAACAGTTTTCTACACCAAAATACTTCAGATCCGTTGGCCAGACACTATCAGTAACAAACTACTGCGGGAGAGAACAAAGCAGATCCCAGACGAGGAGAAATCAGGAAGAAGCGCTGCAAGTGGATAGGACACACATTGAGGAAAGCACCCAACTGCGTCACGAGACAAGCCCTCACTTGGAATCCTCAAGGCCAAAGGAGGAGAGGAAGACCAAAGAACACATTACACCGAGAAATGGAGACAGACATAAGAAGAATGAACAACAATTGGATAGAACTAGAAAGGAATGCCCAGGACAGAGTGGGTCGGCGGCCTATAGCCACATTGGGAGTAACAAGCGTAAGTCAGTGAATATACAGTTCCGTCCAAGCTTCTTTACTCAGCACAGTCCTACTGCATAGATCATACGACCTATTAGAGAGACGGATTTCATTGAACGGTATCTTATTTTTCACATGTCAAAACAATCGATGGACGTGCTTCACACCCCGCAACATAGAATTAATCTATTTAAATATCTGAGTGATGAAATCCAATGACTATACTATTAGGATAATATAAAAGAATTAGACATGCTAAGGGCGACGCCACAACAAAATGGATGCCATAATAACTTCATGAGGAAATACATAACTGAACCTGAGTCCAAACCACGGACCTCCTCAATTGAAAACTCTAACTAAAAGTTAATTTCAAAATATTAAGTTAGTTGGTCATTTTATTATTACTACTAAAATATGATCTTGAATGCCCCGGAAATTAAATACTTCTTCCGTATAATAAGTCTAGAAAGTTGTTCATAGACTATCTTAGTGAGATTTACCTGGAGAAACAGGGGAATAACTTGATTTAAGTTATTTTGAGCTGTCACTTGTGTTCGTCTTCAGATGGTATCAGTTATGAACGATCTCCAGAATCCATTGCAAACTCGATTTCATGTAATACATCACGTATATATCACAGTTTTGATAAACATAGCGTATAGAAACATTTTGAACTGATTAAAAACGAATGTGCCAGATTCTACATTACTCATGGCTGTGTGCCTGATTGAATTCACTTCTAACTGTTTACACTGAACCGAATTAAAAAAAAAGAAAATGCTTGCTCATTTTATTGTTTTAAGTTTTATTTTCAAATACAAATTTCATAGGATTCTAACAAAACAACCAATTAAAAGTAGAAAACACCTGTCATGAAAAATATTCAATTTCATAATTACTGTCAATTAAATAAGAACATTCTTTGAAATCTTTATTTGTAAAATAGTCAATTAAACTTCATCTGTTCATGTTCACAGACAATAAATTCCGATTATCCTCATATTTATTTGCCTTTACTTTCTTGATGAAGCAAGTCTTGACGCGAGCTGGACACTAGCGCCTGTAAAACGAGAATTAAAAAGCAAAGCTTGTAAATAAAAAGATTCAATTAGAAAACAAATTATTATACGATTCATGAAGTGAAAGGTGCTAATGAATGCTGGAAATTACTTCAGTGTGACATAGTTCTTTAGAGCATTCAATACATATGTGTGGTTAAGTTGCTTAAAATAATGAAGTACGGAACGTAACATATTTTAACTGAAAATTGGATTGCATAATAATCCCTGGTAGTTATTGAATTACTACAGATTCCTTTTATTTGTCAGGCACCAGGTTTTGTTATTGTTTATTGATAAAGAAGAAACAAAATTCTCTTTCAAATTGTTTATAACCTAAATGAATGTAAAATATACCTATTTTTGTGTTGACTGAGAATAACAGTCCATTGAACCAACACTAATGGTTCATTAGTGATTGAACCCCTCTCCGACTTACCAAACAATAACTAGAATCAGTACATTAAATTCAACTTGGTAAGTTGAAACTCATTCTTTAGATCATACTAAGCGAACTCAATCTTTAATTATGTTTTGAAACTTTATTGATGCAATTAGTAATATTACTACTATGAGCCACATCATATTTACATCAGACCTAGTGATACAATCCAGTTGGTCAAACTAAACTAGATGCAGTGACGTCGAGATTTGAGATCCACTGGTTGAAAGATGATCGCATCCTTTAATAAGCCAATGCAGCACACTCAAACTTTCGAATAATTGGTGTTACTAGACCTTATAAACAGTGTGGTCCAAAACCGGGTACATGAACATGTACTTGGTCAATGAATTAGATAAGACAATCTTGAGATAATAACGGAGTGTTTTGTTTGTAGAATTGGTAGACATTGTTTTAAGGAGACTACTCTCTGAACCTTGATAACAAGACTGCTGCAACAAATTGTTAGTTCTTAAACGATTCCATGATGGAATGACCACAAATAACTTCTACTTCAAATAAGCGTAGTTTCATGGCAGTATCACATACGTAAAACATAATATCTGTTTATCGACCCCCAATAACAGATAATTAATACAAGTTTAAATGAGAAAATAACAACAACTAAAATAGATAACACCTTATCCGACATGTGCTCAAACTGTATCTTACACTTTCGAATTTATATAACTGTGTGTTGACAAAGGTTGACTATCAAATATTAACAATGGTTTTAGTTAATAGTATATTCACACTCAAGGCATTTTAATTACATGACAGTTTTTTATTGATGCAAATACATTTTACGGTTATTTATCGCCTTTGTATAGACAGCTTAATTTAACAGACATAAAGTGTTCAAATTCTGTCAGTGTGTATTGGGTTCGTGTCTGGAGGATGATACTGACTGAATCTTATATGGTAATATTGAATAGTTCAAAACATACTTTTCAGAATTTTTAGACAAACGAAATTAGGTAAATTGTTTAACATTGTGATAGCAAATGAAGTGTCACTAATATCTAGTCAAGTGTCATAAAAAAGACAAGTCTGTGAGAGAAAATCAAAATACCTTATTTGCTTCAATGGTTTTTGTCCAGTCTTCAGCACCAATCAATGCCACAGCCTCTAATAGAATTTCTCTAACGTGAACAATACTTTTACGAAACTGTTCCAAAACCATATCAACACAGACCTGGTAAAAATGAAATAATACATCAAAAATGAGTTTGTTGGTATCAATGCCAAGTTTGAACTTGATAGTTTCAAATAAATTGAGCATTCTGTGGGAAGTTAATAATATACATGTAGACCGAGAAATGATTTATGTTTCATATTCAGTAAAACTAACCTTTAGATGGTTATAGAGATTTTATGTTGGTCGGAAATTAAAGTCATCCATCGGTGAATGTGAATTATTTGAGTTGCGGATAATTTTATTTCCTAGTTTTGTTTAATTATCCGTTGCATAAAAGACTGTATCCAATGTTACCCTTGGGAGAACATTATTTACTAAAAGTAATAACTTTATTCTATTCAGTGAAATCAACTAGAAATCAGATCCTAGGTATTCAACTGCCTGTAATAATTATTCAGCTTTTAGCTGTTTAAAGTTTCATTAGTGCAATGCAATATGACAGTATGTCTGTCATAAAACATCATTTGATTATTCAGACGATCAGTAACATAGAACGAATAAAAGGCGTTGTTATAACAGATTCAGTTAATATTCCCACCGCTGTAGTCTAATTCTATGCTTAAATTATTATCCATCAATCAAACAGGAAACATGAATGACAATGATTCCAGTCAAAAAGAAACCAGCTAATCATGTCATGCAATTTCTATCAGAAATTAAACTCTACTACCAACTAATTATCCATCTATTTAGTGAAAAGATTGGTGTTTGGTTGGTTAAGCAACAATAAGAACTATAATGTGCCTCGTATATTAAGTAAAGGGTTGCATGCTCGGATTTGAGTCACACTATTCTGTGGAAGGAATAATAATACTACCTAACTGACCAGACAGAAATAAGTAGAGTTGGATTCGAATCTGAAATCTATTGGTTGAAAAAACTGAATGCTTTAATTACTAAGTCACAAAACTTCCTAGATTTTTTACTATCGATTATGAACAACTATAAATGAAAGTAGCCCGGCATATTGGCCAACAATCAATAACCATTATACTTTACTTTAGGAGTTCCTAGAAATACAAAGTTCAACAATGCATGAAAATCCTCAAATTTAAAGACGAATACAATCACAACTTTATTGAAATCCACAACCTCATACTGGAAGCATAACAAAATAATTGGACATCCTTATGTGTGTATCTATAAATTACTATAGAAAAGTAGCCAGTAAGTATAACTTTCTCACATGTTCCTCATCTGCTTTTCAACAATCAAAATCTGTAACAATTGCTATAGAAGCATAACTTAAACCAGCTTCACGAGCCAATGAAACTTCAGGAACTAATGTCATGTTAACTATATCCAATCTCATTGCCTTATGAACAAATGATTCGAAACGAGTTGAAAAACGTGGACCATTGATAGTTACTGCAGAACCTTCAGTATGTACACATGGATGAATACAGGCGGATTTATCCATAGTTTTTTTGTCATAAACATTTATTGATTTATTTTTGGCCGCTTGGATTAACATCTGAAAATGTACGAGACATATGAACAAGTTACTGTTATACTATAAAAAAGAGAATTCAAGCAAAAACGTCTTCAGTGTTTAACTTTTCCTTTACATTTTCATGATCATTCATCAGTCATTAAGTAGATAATGGAGACCAACTGTTTACCGATGCATCATTATATTGTAGGAGCTCTAAAACATTATTTATTAAGCAAAACAATACACAAACTTCCAACTCATTTGATATTTAACAACTCCAAGAAACTAGAATGTATCTAGCATAGTTAATGCGCCTTGTTAACAAAACATTTTGTACATTAATTTATTTTAAGCGTCAACATTCAATCAACAATGTCAACTATGGAATTTAACAAACGTCAAAACCTCACTATATAACAATAATAATAATAATGTGCCCACCACTGACTAAGTGAGAAGTGAGAAGTTGTGACTATTGAAGATCAACTACTTCAAGTGTACAACAGTTACCTACTAATAAAACTGGGTGGTTGACCAGTATCGTTTTAAGATCGAATTTAAACATGTAAACTATTGGATGTCGGGTCAGTGGTCTAAATGCCAAGTGCTCACTACAACAACTGGAAGTCCTGGGTTCGACTCATGATGGGGTCGTGGATGAGAGTTCCTGACTTATAACATATTAAGACGAAACGTCTGTCTAGCGCTTCCCAGCCCTCAATGTTCAACCAAAATCAGTTCTTGGTGTTAGCTATGGAATAAAAAGCTATTTAAACAGGTTTCATAGTGAAACGTACATTAAAAATTGAATTGAAAGCACTCAAGAGTATGCAAACCGACAGTAGCTGTTACCTTGACGTGATGGTCGGGATTGCCTATCGTGATAAAGCAACCGAGCTATATTGGCTGAAACATATGTTCCTGCAGGTTCTATCATGCTAGGCAGGTCGATTGGAGAACCGTTAGACTAAAAGCAGCAACTCAAAGTCTGAGGGCGAAGTCGTACTGCTGACTGTAGAGGGGTGTGACAGCAATAAGGTGTTCCCCTCGAACAACCAGTATATGCAGTGATGCTGCCATCTCACAAGGAAGGAAGGGGTTAGAAAAGGTCCACTCTAAAAGTGTCACACCTCACCTTAACTCACGGATTTCCGTCTCCGGCAATAAGGCCCTTTAAAGAACGGAGCTAATACAATAAAAAAACACCCACGATATGGCCGTGCGCGACCGCCCTCAAGTTGTCCTTTGGGCTCTGCCGTCACGCTCCCAGCTCGTCAAGACCATCACTAATCCGATTTCCTTTTCAGGTTCCTCAAGAAATACCTTTCCATGATGTAGGCAGCCGGGAAGTGATATCAGCCCTCAAACCCGTAACAGCACACGAGACCAAGTTGATCACATTCAAATCCTCCCCACACATCATAATAACCCTTCTCACGTCACCTCGCACCGCTGGTGCAAACGATTCGAGTACGCAGAACGTTATTCCTGATCTCCTGAAACCAAACTCCAAACAACATGCAGAGCTTTCAACGTTCAAACACTGTGACAAATAGGACAACAGGCTTCCTTAGTTAGGACTTTAGAATCTCGCGCTATCCATATGTGCTGCGTCTCCGAAACGCGCATACAGGATCCGAGTAGTGTCATTCATTTGACCTCACCATATCAAAACAAAGAACCACCTAGATTCATGCTTTGTGTATCTGGAAGCCCTGATGCTGCTTCCTGTGGCCTCGCCGGCGTAAGTATAGCATTGAGTCCCAGAACAGAACTAGCTCTCTTAGACTGCATCCCAGTAGACAGTCGCTTGTGCGTTGTCCGACCAAACGGAACAGCGAGGACTCGGAAAGATAGTGACACTCTTCGTTGCCTCTCAGTCGTCTCTGCCTACTCTTCCACTGACTGCAGCTCAGATGATGTAAAAGATGAGTTTTACAGAAAGCTTTTCGACCTCCTCCGAAAAACTAGGCGTTCTGATGTAGTGATAGCGGCTGGTGACTTTAATGCTCAAGTAGGTAAACTAGGAGAAGGGGAAAGACACCTGGGTGGATCTTATAGTGTCGTGGCTCAAAGAACAAATAATGGCGATCGTCTATTGCAGCTATGCTCAGATAACCGCCTGTTTCTTGCAAATAATATATTTAAGCATAAGGAAAAACATCTTTCGACAGAGCGAACACCGAATTCGTCCCAACGTGTGACCGAAATAGATCAAACCGCTATCAGCCATCGATGGAGGGGCTCGATAGAAGACTGTCTCTCATTCTGGAGCACATGCTTAGATTCAGATCATGCTCTAGTGCGAGCGCGTATTTGTCTGTGTCCCACTGGACGTAGGAAAGACGCTGCAAGGAAGCCTCGTAGGGTCCTACTTATTGATAGCCAAGCTAAGAGTATATTTCAGGAACAACTAGAAAAAACAGTTAGACAGCAATTTGTGATGCATAACCCGAAACAGCGTGGAATGATATTCGAAAAGCTGTGGAAACAGCAGTGATACCTGCTGATACGGTTAACCACAAGGTTAGGGAGAAACACTGAATCTCAGCAGCATCTACCGCACTGATAGATGCTCGACAACTCATCCCATCTGGCTCTGAACATAACGAAGAGCAGAGTCAGCTTAAGCGCAAGCTGACAAGAAGCCTACGCAATGATCGTGAACAGTGGTGGTTAGCGAAAGCAAGAGATGGGAAAGGCAGCGGCAATAGGTAACAGCAGACAACTGTTCAAACTTGTTAAGGAAACCGGTATTAGGAAACCGACTGTTAGCGAAACAATCTCAGAGGAAGATTGACATATTATACATTCTCAATCCAGGAGATTGGATTGATGGGGAGAGCACTTTAGGGATCAGTTCAACTGGCCTTCAGCCACACTTCAGTTTTCCACGATCTCCAGTCGACCAGAATGGCAAGCTAATGCAGGTTCTCCGACTCTTTATGAAGTTGAGTGAGGTATAGGAAACCTGAAACGAGGAAGAGCAGCAGGCCCTGACGGGTTTACTCTTGAGATTTTTATGGATGGTGGTCCAGTATTAGCAGTGAGATTGACTGAGGTCTTAGGTAGAATTTGGGAACTGAACGTAATTCCATCTGACTGGTCTCAATCACTGATTGTGCCAGTCTATAAGAAAGGACAAAAGTCCTCTTGTGACAATCACAGAGGAATCAGTTTGACTAACACAGTGTCTAAAATATTAGCTTCAATAATACTTCGACGCCTAACTAAACCTCGCGAAGAGCAGACTAGAGAAAACCAGGCTAATTTTCAACCTGGATGTGGTTGTATAGACAAGATATTCACACCACGTCAGGTCCTAGAACATAGACACACATTCAGACGCCCCACAATAGTAATATTTCTCAACCTCAAGGCGGCATATGACTCTGTTGATCGTGAGGTTCTGTGACAGTGTTTGTCACTGTAAGGAGTACCAAAGAAGTACATTAACCTTTTAAAGGCTCTCTACTCAAACACAACTGGCCGAGTGAGAGCTTATGACGAACTGTCATCAGAATTGATTACCTCCAGTAGTGTTCGTCAGGACTGTCCACCCTCTCTATTCTTGTATGACTTTGTCGTTGACGTGCTTTCAGAGACAACATTTTCTCCATCTAAATTTCCAGGAGTTGAACTTTTACCGGGAGATTCACTTGTTGACTTAGAATATGTCGATGACACAGTTCTACTTGGTGAAGACACTGACAAAATGCAGTCTTCTGACCACTATAAGCAACAATCCTACCATGTTCGGCATGCGATTCTCCCCTCGAAATGCAAAATGTTTCTTCAGGATTGGGTTGTATCGACACCCCAACTAATGATATGGAGTGAAGTAGTTGAGCGTGTCGACCGCTTCACTTATCTCAGAAGTCTCATCAGCCCTTGTGGTCTGGTGTGTGACAAAATTTCAGCACGGATACGGAAGGCTCGACTAGCTCTTGCCAACTTGCGTCATTTATGGAGCAGGCGAGATATCTGTCTATCAAACGAAGGACCGGTTTACTGAGCAGCAGTTTGTTCCGTTCTACTTTATGACGGTGAAACATGACCAGTAAGAGTAGAAGACATTCGTAGGTTACTATTATTTGATCATAGGTGTCTTCGAAACATTGCTCGTATATCCTGGGACCATCGAATAAGTAACGCAGTTGTTAGAAAACGGGTACTAGGTAAGGATGGCAAATCAATTGATGAAGTAGTGAAAATTCATCAATTCAGATGGTTGGGACACGTGTTACGTATGCCCAACCACCGACTGCCCCGACGTGCGATGTTCAATGGTTGGGAGAAAGCTAGGGGTGGCCAGACAAAAATATGGCACAAATCCATGAAGTCACTGACAAGTGGACTGAGTCATGCTGGTAGGTGTAGACTTTCTGGTTGAAGACCGCGAGATGATAGCAATCGATGGCTAGAGAGCTTGAATGACATGGCTCAAAATCGTTTGCAATGGCGCTGGTGCATCCACTCTTTGTGGTTTCAGTCAGTCAGCTACAACGTAGGACCAGACACATTTATGAATCGGTCCAAGTTGCCATACCACATTAACACAACAAGATGAACACCGGATTTATAAAAGTAGTTAATTCAGAGGTGGTAATATATAAGAGAAAGATTGCATATAGAGATATAGTACAAGAAGAAAGAATTAGTTCGTAGAAAGAAAGATATGAAGCGATTTTAATCTTAGTTTAAGGGAAGATAGAGAGTGTATACACCGACGCCATTGTGATCGATTCTGATCCATGTCACCCAAAGTCTCTAACCATTGGTTACGATAGTCACGCGGACCCCAACCAAGTAGTCTGCATCTACCAACATGGCTCAGACCAGAAGTTTGCGACTTCAAGCACTGATGCCAAGTTTTGGTTTGGCCGCCCCTAACTTTCTTCCAACCATCCCGAACGTCGGTTAGCATTGCACGTCGTGGTAATCGGTGTACGGACATACGTAACACGTGGCCCAACCATCTCAGTCGATGAGGTTGTGAATCTATTTGAGTCCATCGTTGGTTTGGTGTAGGGGGTCGCCATGTTAGACGATGTCTCTCCTTATGCTTAAAATGTGTTTGCTAAAAATAAACGGTTGTCTGAGCACAGTTGCAGCAGACGATCACCATTATCTGTTCGTTGTGCCGGAGTACTAAAATACCCACCTAAATGCCTTTCTGTTTGGTTTAGGCTACCTATCTGAGCATTAAAGTCACCTGCTACGAGTACTATGTCTGAGCGTTTAGCTTTCTGAAGAAGTTCAGAAAGCTTTCTGTAAAATTCATCTTTCACATTATCTGAGCTGCAGTCGGTGGGAGCGTAGGCAGAAACGACAAAAAGGCAACGACGTGTGTCCCTATCCTTCCGAGTTCTTACGTAGCCGTTTAGCCGAACAGTACATAAACGACTGTTAACGGGGATCCACTCTAACAATGCTTGTTCCGCCTCATGCTTAGTGCTATCCCTACTCCTGCCAGTCCACGAGAGCTGGCCATCGCGTCACCAGATACATGGAGGGAGTATCTCGTTGGCTCTCCGTGTTGCCGAGGTGAGGTCAAGTGAATGGCCACACTGGGATCCTGTATGCGTGTTTCAGAGACACAGCATACATCAATGGTACGAGATTCTAGGGTTCTAGCCAGGGAAGCCTGTTGACCGATTTGACATAGAGTGCGTACGTTGAAGGTTCCAATGTGTAGTTTGGAGCGAGGTTTCAGTAGACCTGGGACAGTGTTTTGAGCACTAGAATCGTTGGCTATCGTGACATTTGAGGAGGAAGCCGAAAAAGGAAGTTTAGAGGTGAGAGTCGATGTAGAAGGAGTAATAGGAAGTGAAGACGGAGGTTGATTAGGAATACAGTGGTCTTGAGTGCTGTTAGAGGTATGAGGGCGGTTATCACTCCCCGGTTGCCCACACCGTGGAAGGGTTCTTCTGGAGGTACCTGAAAAGGAAACTGGATTAGAGGTGGTCTTAGTGACCTGGGAGCGTGACAGCAGTGCCCAAGGGACAACTGCTTGAGGTCGGTCACACACGACCTTTTTATGGGTAATTGTTGTGTTAGCTCCGTACTTTTTGGGACCTTACCGACGGAGACGGATATCCGTGGGATAAGGCGAGGTGTGCATTTTTAGGGTCGACCGCTTCTAACCCCACCCCTCCTTGTGGGAAGGCAGCATCGCTGTCATGCTGGTTGTCTGAAGGAAACACCTTACTGCTGTCACACCTCTGTACAGTCAGCAGTACGACTTCGCCTTCGGACCTTGGACTTGCTGCTTTTAGTCTTACCGCTCTTCAACCGACCTGTCTGACATGGTAGGACCTTGTAGAACAGTTGTTTCAGCCAGTATAGCTCGTTTGCTTTATCACGATAGGCAAGCCCGATCACCAAGTCAAGGTAGCAAAAACGGTCAGGACTCTTTGTGTTCTCCCAAATTCTGATCTTCTGAATTCTTCATGTCCCTTTTTTCCTCTTTCCAAATTTATTTCACTGGATTATACTCCTTGAATAACATCTTCAAACCCTAATCTTTCTGATTACTGCTTATACTCTTACCGCCACTACCACTACGGGATTTGAATCGACTACTGCATCTCTGTGCTAATGTGGTATGGCAACTCGAACTGATGTACGTACGTACGAAGTTCTAAGTTGTTACTGACTGATTGACTGACAAGAGCATGCAAAATCACTATATTAATACAGTTTGAAAGGCAAACTGTCTACGAAATTTTATTCTCGTACTCGAACAAACATATTTCATTCGACCGTGGTATAACATTCAGAAATTTCACTCAGTAATACTACAGTCAACCAGTTTGAGATTAGTAAGATCAAGAGATGAAAGTAAAATCACTGCTAAATAGATAATAAGGTTAACTAACAACTGAAATAATTATTCACTTTGTAAATCTTGAAAATGTAGTGAGATGGAGAAGTAATTCAGCTCTCAAATTAGAAACAAAGCAAGATGCCCAGAAACATCTTCGAAGTTAGACAATATAACAAGAATAGTTAGGCGCAGCGGCAGACAACTGTGTCCTACTTGATAGCAAGGTATATGATTGAAAAAAGACCATGGAGTTGGCCTTCAAACAACTGTAAGTGGCTCATTCTTAGGTTTATAGAAGTCCTGGTCATTAGAAAATGCACACTTGAGTACACAGTGGACTAATGGTTTGTTTATATTCCATTTTAAACATTTCCAATTCATCTGCCAACACATGAAAGTTGATGACATTTTTGACAGTATAAACAAGACTGATATTTTCATACGCATATATGTACAATTTATTAACTAACTTCAAAACTACAGAATGATCATTTGAATTTGCTGGCCATCTAAAGGACATTGTGGTGTGTATTCGAGCTATTCTTGATATGGTCATAATATGTGAAAGTCAATTGGCCAGAAGATGCTTCTCAGATATTCTTTTGTGTTTTTGAAGGACTACAATTTTAGAACTGCCTAACAAGTAATACTAAATAACATCCACAAAACATCAATAAAACAAAGTGACAGACATTACCCTTCATAAAATAGTACTCAATGGAATCAGTAGACACTAATATGACACAATTTAAAAAATGTAAACATTTCCTAGGAACACAAAATATCGTGTAGTTAACGTGGCTGTTAATTATTCGGAATGAATACTCTTATAAACGTTTTAGAGGCAGTTCATATTTTTTAATTTGAACGGATGAGCTACAAACTATGGGCAAAAAGCAACATAAAATGTAAATACTCGAAAGTACTTATAGAAACAAACCAAACTAGGTTGAACAGTTGTAAAATCTAGTGTCAAAGTATACATGTCATAACAATTATACATCAAACACCTTTAAGTAAATAGAGTTAAGTAAAAAAGCTTTACATACTTCCCTAATTATTAAGTCAAGCGATAGAAAACTAGCTTAATATCTAACCTGACGTGTTTTTTCACAAAATGGTTCTGCCATCGGCATATGTAAGACTCCTTTCAATGAATCAGGTTTACTTCCATAAAACGTATTTTCACGACCCCAAGTTTTATCCAAAAACTGATTGAGAACAACGAAATCTCCAGGTACTAAGTCCTCCTGTAGGCTACCACAAGCGTTGGTAGCTAATATATGAGTACACCCGAGATCTCTCAACGCCCAAACGTTGGCGCGATAGTTGACTTCGCTGGGCGGAATTAAGTGTCCTTTACCATGTCTGCAAAATAAAATATGAACAAGCCACTCAGAACGCGGATCAATGTCTCCAAACTGCAAAACTCTTAGTCTTCCTTACACAACATAGCACCCAAATAAATTCTAAGCACTACAAGTCATTTAAAGACAAGTAAATTTCAGCCGGAATGACCGCTTTTACCAAAAAAGTAAACCTTTATGACTATTTACATATGGTCACAATAAATTATGAAATAGGTTCTAGAAGAAAGTAACCGGACCGCTTCTGTCTTGAGGTAAAAATATTTTAAGCATCTCTTCTACACAGACTCCTATATTACCATCTTGAAACCTCAAGGTGGGACAAAGTGAGTAGGAAATCATTTAAGTAGTCAATCGGGATGAATTTTCTACAAACGTAAAAAATACCAGATTCAGCACAACAGTTAACAGCTTTCTAATAAGAAGTTAATTAAAATCACGAAAATCTTCGTTTTGAGTGCCTTTCGAACATCAATATTTTCAGAAAATTCAGACCTTTGTAGTGTGCACAGTTAAGACTTTTGCAATAAAATATGCATAAATTTCAGTCATTAGAAAAATAAGATAGTAAATGCGCTGTGTCCTAAAGGTTTTACAGATATATGCTGATTCATGATGCTATCATTTTGCTGTGATGAAAACATAAACCGCTTAATTCGCACTAAATTAAGCCTTAATACATGGTTATATGTGATCTTTCACTTAACACTATCAATATGCAAAACAATACAAGATTAGAAAGATCATATGTGTGAATTGTTGTAAATAATCAAGACGCTCAAGCATGTGGGTACATATATGATGCCCCATATGATCGCAGAGACAAAATCACTTTTATGTAGCGTCAACCGAATTGGTTTAAAGCCATCCGAGTTCCCTTTGATGCCAACAAGAAACTAACCACGTTGTCGAGTAGTGGATACTAAACGTTGTAATGTGGTTAGTTTCGCCCTATTTCTGTTAAACCTGGCAGTTTCGAGCTAAAGATGTCTGAATAAGTTTTGTAATGACCATTGTTATTCGTAAACGATTGTTCGCGCTCGACAGAAGTATCGTATATGTCATTCAGAAGTTCAGTAAATTGTTTGTGAATAGCATCAAAACCTTCAGTCAATATGCGATGGGCTTTTTAAATACTACCTCCCATGACTTTAATACGTCTTTGGACATGATAACTAAACAGCTTTCAAATTAAGTGCTGTACAGCTGCCAGTAGAACCAACCGGAAAAGACAGGTAATCAGTAATTTCTTATATGGCCTCCAAAAATTGTACGACTTTGATAGCAGTTTTAATTTTTAGACCATAATAATTTTAGATTTATTATAACATTATTCCTACAACCTTCCGCTTTCTCGGAATATTAATATTTCATTTTCTGGGAGTCTTTATTGACTACCCATTTAATCTTCAGTGTGGTAGATAGATAACGTAATTGTCTTCTCGTTTTTATTCTCTAGTTCATTCATAGCTCCTAGAGTAAGTTTTGGACAGATCTGGAAAATTACTATCATACAATAAGTTCAATACAATTACTTATTCCAGCCAAGTCAATAATTTTATAACGAATAGGCCATTTTTACTAACAATGGTTACCTGGGAAGCACAACACATGCAACATCTCCAACAAAACCTTCGATAAGAGCATCTGACGGCTTTCCAAACGGAGTAGTCACTTGTCGCACTCCTACTTTTTTGAATAAATTTGGGTCATCGAATCCAGAACCCCCAATAATTCCAACCTAATATGCAAAGAAGTACGAATAATTACATTTTATATAGACTAAAAGTGCTTAAAACTCGAATCAATACATTTAATTTAGACTGAACAACTGTAAACCTTACATCTACAACTTAATGGATGAAACTTGGATTGTCTAGTTCATATGTCACCGCTTAAAATCCACAACTTTTTCTAATATACTATACATTACATAGTGAGATTAGAGATTCCCAAAACTTTACACTCCGTAAAAGCGATACTAATTTCACTTTTCGAGTTTGTCCTGAACCACAATGACGTTAGGTCTTAATTGCTAGTTTTGTGTTTGCTTTCATTTAGTAAGCCAATACAATGGGATAAGTAAAGCGGACAATTAATAAAGTCATGTTTCTGTATAGATGAACAGGGTAGAAACAATCGGTTTTGAAATGATCAATTGTCAAGTGCATACACCTTTGTATATACAAGAATCTCAGAGTGTAATTCTTATTTTTTACTGGTAGGAGGCTTTAGGAGGTAGAGATTAAGCTGTGCGATTTGCAGTGTCGTAGAAGTCCAATTTCCTTCTGACAGTATCAATGGTTAAGGACTCGGTAAAAGGAACAAGTACATAAGCTTAGATAGTTTGATTTCTGACTTTCGGGTCTTTAAAAGAAGCATTTTCGAATCAATGAATTCAAACGGGATATGATCGAAAACCGTACACTTGAACATATATCAAAATACTTGCTGTTGGTGACTATTGATGGGAGCGTAGACAATTTTAAACAAAACTAAATCGTCATAAGCGAAATATGGGTGGGCAGTTATTTTAGAAATATACAGTCAGACAGAGTTAGTCTACGTCAATCGCGCAAGCTGTAGAAGGACCGACTTCATGATATAACTTTTAGTGCGTCCTTCTCTTCGAAATTAGTCTAATTTTCACTTAATTTTGAGAAAACGTTTTAGGCTGAATACGTGTCTAGTGGGAATATATACACTCGGATCTTAATAAAAGTCTACTTATGTCATAAGATAGCTAGAATGTGATAAATACGTAGCTTGAGAAAGCGCATAGTGACCCCTGATTCGTGTCAAAAGCTGGATTTGACATTGTTGACAAGAATAATGCATTCACGTGGTTAAATTTAGTGTTAACAAAAAAATAACCGACCCTTAAGGGTCACTTTCTGAATGACATTCATATAAACGACAGATATTCGCCAAAACTAACAACATTACTTTTGGCTTAACCTATAAGCACCGTATATTATACTGGACCAAGTGAAAAGATACTATGTATCAAATAACGTAGTATCCAAAAGATATAACTTACCTTAACTTTAGACATTCCGACTGAACTCGGCTAGGCAAGATAATTAACGAGACAATTACAGCTCGATATTTATAGCCAATGATGTTGTGGGTGGATGGGGCCAGTCTTGTCTCCATTGGCTGATCCAAATAGTGAAACTGTTGGTAAGGCTTAGCGTTATTGTGTCAAGGTTGGATCTGTTACCGCGCAGTCTAATTTCCAATATCCAGTGTATTCGTCACGATCTTATATACACCGATTGGTTTCTCTACGCTCACATATTGTTGTTTCGGGCACGAATCCAGGTATTTAGTAGCGTTCAATCGGTGGACCACTGCTACTAGATACGATGCTCGTCAAAAGAAAGCTTCTTCTATTCCATGCAGAACCATTTGATGTGATAATTCAAAACCTAAGAGATGATTGCTTAAAAACTAAATAAATGATTTATCCAACAGGTGATGTGTAAGAAGATGGAGTTGAAAGCAGCTTGTATTTTGTGACTTGGATATATTTCTGGTGATTGATACGACTGCTGACTAAAGAGCCTTATGCTTCTCCCATGGTAATTCACTTGTCGTAGTCTTACTACACTGTGGGTAAACGCACCAGAACCTCGGATAAGGGTGACTTTGTAGTGTTGTTGGATTTAAAAAACAATACACCTGAAATGGTGAAGACGGGAATATGTGATAGGTTTGATACCGCCCCAACATTCTGGTTTGGTTGTATAATTATGGTCTGGTTCGTTATCATTACTATTATGACAATAGATCTCATCCTTAACTCTTAGATTTGTCGTGATGTGGAATCGTAAAATACAAGATCTTACATGGAAGTCACACCATTGTCTATGCTGACTCGTCGTATAGTAAAATCAGCAATATAATATTTAACGTTTTTAAAGAACACATTTGAACTGGAAATAGAACAACGTGTTTAATATGGATAAAATAAGTTGCACAAAAATGACCATGTCTGCAAGGCCGAGTCATGCCATCTAATTGAGTTGATTGATTGTCCGCGCGTTCCCAGTTATCTCATGTCCAGCTATGAGGACTGTGAGGTTAGAACCTATACCTACACATGGTCATCACTACGTTACTTCTTTCAACTCACTCCTAGTCCAGATATATTCTTCAGTAGTCCTTAGCCTCAACCAGCTACTTTCACAAGAGAAACAGTTTTCATAGACACCAATCTAACATTGTTGAGACCGACTAAAGAAGCATAACCTGTTATGAATTTTCGTATTAAACCTTATCAATTGGTTTTCACTGCGTGTACAACGAATCTAAGGCGGGCCTAATGCCAAAAATACTCTTCGACTCTTGACTTGCAATAATTATGACGGTGTTCTGACATTTGGCGGAGGGCTAGGAAATAATCAATACATCGTTCACCAGAACGGGAACTAAAAATGTAAAATCAGCGTAACACACACAGAGTTTAGATAGTTACGCCAAAACGAGTGGCAATTTTGTACACAAACACACAACGGCAGCTAAATCGCGATGTGATCTATCTGAGTCCAGGTTTGAAATATCAAGGGAGGGCGTCAGGTAGTACACCGGTGATGACTGTGCCCACAGTTAGTGCTAGCAATTGACAAGCTGTATCCTGCGCACAGTTGCAGTAGACGGTCATCGTCATCCGACTTGCGACCAACAGGTTCCTATTGGCCACCCAAACGACTGTCCTCCGTGCCCAGACGTCAGACACGCCCATTCAAGTCTCCGGTCAGTACCACAATACCGATCGGACGCATGTTCTGCAGAAGAACAGTCAACTGGTGATAAAACTCATCCTTGATCATATTTGGGATCAATCAATAGGGGGATAGGCGAAGATGACGAGAAGACATAGTTTTTCACATCGATTTCTTACCACTCTGATGGAACCTTCTGAACTTACAAAACATGACCCACTATTGATAAGTATCCAGTCGACCAGTGCTGCCTAAGCTCTGATGCGACACCGAAGGAGGCGATACCAGCTGAAGGTGGAGCAGGGTCGCCGGACAAACACACGTAAAACGGGCTTTATGAAGTGAAAGATTGATAGTGAATTGTAGTACTGTATAATTATGGTCCACTTCGAAATTCGTACTGCTCTAATAGTAGACGCGGTCCTAAAATTGTAGGTTTGCCATGATGTAACTGCCTAATCCACAAGACTTCACGTGGATGTCACATCATTTTCTATCCTGACTCACTCGTATTGTGACAATCATCAGTATATGGCGAAGAACACATTTAGGTTGGAGAAAGAACAATATATTTATTATAGCTAAGAGACTGTTGCATAAGTGCTTCACGCCTGCAATGCCGAACTATGCCATCCCATCAATTCGAACTAATTGGATTCATTCTTCCCGCCTTCTCCATCGTTGGGTTTGTCTCCGCGTTAAATGAGGAATATCTATTTTACCAATTGTCTCGTGTTCAGCTTTGATAATTGTATGGTTAGGGCCCGATGCCACTACTGTACTACACTTGAGACATGAATATGGGTGTGGGATAGATAACAGACGCCAGTGTTGAGACTTTCTAAAGACATAGCCAACCCTATGTGTTGTCGGATCCGCATTAGCGTGCGAATGTTGGAGGAGGATAGTTTGAATGATATACGTGATTTCGGAAATATTGTTTCACTAGTTTCAGTCGGTGGTAGCATTCAACCTCCGACTAGTCAGTGACTGAAGATCGTTTATGTAGTGCAGGGTTTCCACTAAAGACCAGTTGCTGTATATGTTGAACTGTAGAATAAAATACACCAAACGAGAATAAAAGGGGGTAGATAAGCGGAATAGTATAAAATAAATAAAAACGAATATTATCAAATGATTGTGAATATGACGTGTCTGGATGTGAGTTGAAGAAAGAGCAATTGTTCCATTAATAATTATCATTTGATTTGTGTGTGGACTGGGATACTACCCGGGTGCTTAGAACGAATCAGGTTGTTCTCTTAAGGTGGTACTCCTCGATCATTCGATTAGAGGGTCTAATCCACAAGGCAGTGGGGCGACGTTAGAGGCTGCGGTCCCATGGTAGTCGGTAACCAACAATAGATTTATACGCCATTTGTTCTCCCAGAATCCTAGAGCACACGTGCACACTTGGTTCGGAATTAGGGTGTGCCAACTCCTGTGGTTGGATCCTTCGTTTCCACCAACCCGGTTAAAGTGCCAGACATTCGAATTTCGTCATATGAATTTCGCAAGCAATACTCCAGACATGAGAAGACAGTGAGTAGACAATCCCTGACAATAGTTTTAACGGAAAGAGGGCGCTGGAAATCCTCCTACAGCATTTTGTTAGACAGTACCGTCATTTATTTGTTTCTTCTCCCTTTCGTGCATTTTAACTTTTGTTCAGACTTCTTCTGACCACACTTTGTGTTCTTCGGTCTTCCTCGTCTCAGCTTTTATAATGTGATTTTGATCAAAGACTTATCTTTTGTTACCTAATTTTCTATTGCATGTTGCCGGACTATTGACAATAGGGTCGCGCTTGACTAAGCTCAAGGTCACGGCGTGGATCAGTGTGTGACTGTTAACTTTGAGTGTCTGCCTGAGAAGATCACTGGAATCCCTGCAGATAGATATCTGATCCCATCTTGTTGGGAATATTTCTATTGATTCTCAGGTACTGAACTCTTTTGTATTAACTGGTTCTTTTGTTGTTTAGCACGCTACTTTGCGTTAGAGAAACATCTGACTGTGTAGCACAGGCTGTACCGTTTGAAGTATTTTGTATTTTTGATATAATTTGTTCTGTTTCCTAAATTAAAACCGTTTAAATTGAGCACAGAGTTTGTGTTTTGTTATAATTTAATACGACTACCTCAAAAATGCCTCTTACGCTATACAGAAGAACGTAGTCTGGTCTATTCGAGTAAATTTTGGTTCGTCAGTCCTGCCTTCAAACCGAATATTAGCAGTTCGGTTGTTACAGTGCTTATATACGCTGAGCCATGTATTGTAAACGTGGACTGAGTAGTTGTCCGAATCTAACTTCTCACCTGGCATTTTCACTAAAACATTTAGACTATTTTATACTATGTATTATTCTCTCATATCTTTTCGCCGACCCACTGCCCGCCAAATTTCCGACTCTCTTGCTCCATTGCCAAACAATAAGAATGATAATCCAGAAAACACAATCAATTTCACTAAGAATTTCTGAAGTTTTTAGCTCCTTTCTGATAGTTCATACTGCGAATGCTATGCGTTTGGATGGATTTGTATTGAATGAACTAAGGAACAAAGTCAGAAGTACTACGCATACTGAGGAATTAGTTGCAGCACTCCATGTTAAACCTGCTTCTTTTGAATTTGTACTATTTGTCATAGTTGTCCTTCTGTACGTCAAATATGCTGAATAATCTGAGATCGGAAAAAAAATCAGGCGCGTTTTAATGTCCCAGTAGATCACCTACTATTTTTATGGTACGTCCAGGAATGTATATATATACCTAGATAAATCTGATTATTTATTTGGAGATCCAGTTTTGATGTTTGAGTTGAGTGATCAACGTTGCACATATCACAAGGTTACCCTTGACTGTCTCGGAATTAAACTTCACGGTTTTGCAGCTCACTATACGACAGTCTTGTTTTTGCAATAAGATGGGTGTGTGTATGTTGCGCTTGAAGCAACAAGGAAGGGAGTAACTGATCGAGACAGCTACAAATACAGCACAATGGTTCAAACATGGTATGACAGTGAATATCAGATATTTTGTTATGGTTTTGTGGTAGCAGGAAAATCACATCGGACTCGAAGAGCGCAAAAACGACGTGCAGTCATGTCAGACATTTAGATGCCCACTCTTTCATACCTAGTTTCGATCACTGCATTATCTTCATTTGATAATTTCATCTTTGTTACTGTTTCATTTCAGAAATAAATTCAAGACCATTTTATGTGTCTTCTATATTTCCTCAAGGTATATGTGATCTCTTCTCGTGGCTTTCAGGCATACATCACCATACACGCCCCATAGCATACAAAGTATACCCAGATTAGCTT